CACACACATACACATACATATACATACATATGTGTGTACCTGTGTTCTCCAGTGCAGTGGGCGTGGCCTCATGCTGGACGGTGAGGACGTGGAACAGAGTCCAGAGGGAACATGGGTAACCTCTAAGCCCCGCCCTGCTGCCCTGGCAACCAACCCAGCGAAGCTCCGCCCCCAGGAACACACCTGAGATCTGGACAGGAAACAGGAAGTCAGCTGCTGCTCTGTGAGTGTGAGTGTGCGTGTGTGTAGCCTGTCTCACCCTCATCTTGTTGTCCACCAGGTCCAGGACAGCCTGGTAGGGGATTTGTGGAAGAGGCAGACTGAGCAGCCAATCAGAGAGAGTCTCCATCAGCTTCACCACAGAACCTGCACCTGGATACAACTGCACAGGTAGAGAGACCTGACGCTCTATTTCTACACCCGGAGCCTACATTACCCACAATGCTGCTGCTTTGTGGGTAATGTAGGACTACAATAGTTTACTAGAACTAAACTACAATAGTCAGAATTTTCTTCAATCCACTAAAACTAGTGAGAACATTATAATCATCCCACTAGTACTCAGTACTAGTATACGGCAGTAGTACCCTGTACTGACTACGTGTACACGTACTAGTATACAGCAGCACTAGGACCGTGTACTGGCACTAGGACCGTGTACTAGGACCGTGTACTAGGACAGTGTACTAGTACTAGGACCGTGTACTTGTATGTTTACATTAGTTTTCCTCTGAACTCTGTCGTTACCTTAGCGACCAAAGTAACAAAGTCCTTAAAGGTCTGTAGCTCCTCCCCCTCCAGGGTATTATGGGTAGCCAGCTCCACTCTCAGCAGGTAGTGGAGGGCTGACTCCAGATCAGCCTGGTACACCTTAGACCTGCAGACACACAACAGGGTTTACTGGATACACAGAGTCCTCAGACCAGGACACCACAGAGTCCTCAGACCAGGACACCACAGAGTCCTCAGACCAGGACACCACGGGGTCCTCAGACCAGGACACCACGGGGTCCTCAGACCAGGACACCACAGAGTCCTTAGACCAGGATACCACAGAGTCCTTAGACCAGGATACCACAGAGTCCTTAGACCAGGATACCACAGAGTCCTCCACAGAGTCCTTAGACCAGGATACCCGAGAGTCCTCAGACCAGGATACCACAGAGTCCTCAGACCAGGATACCACAGAGTCCTCAGACAGAGCTGATCCGGTCCCACCGAGTCTCTGACCTGTCGAAGTCTCTCCAGGGCTCGCTGCTCCGTTGGTCCGTCAGCGCCCCCATCAGGACTCCACTGGTACTGGTGGTGGACTTCAACTTGCGCTGGACTCCTGGTAACGTCCTCAAAAAGGAGGAGAAGAAGAAACGCAACCGCTTCTGACTAGAGGAGGAAGAAGAGAAGAAGAAGAAAAGCAGGTTGGTTAAGGGCAAATAAACAGAAATAAAAATGTTATGAGACTGAACTGTGTGTGTGTGTGTGTCCACTCACACATGCAGGTGTGTGTGTGTTGCGTTCGGGTGCAGCAGGTAAACAGAAGGGAAGGTTGTGATCTTCAGAGCGTCCAGCAGAGGGAGATCAGAGCTCAGAGCTCTCTTCACCTCCACACCCGAGTACTGGACCAGGTCCAGAACCACCTGAGAGAGAGACAGGGAGGGAGGGACAGAGAGAGGGAGGGAGGGAGAGACAGAGAGAGGGAGGGAGAGAGGGACAGAGAGAGAGAGAGGGACAGAGAGAGAGAGGGAGAGAGACAGAGGGAGGGAGGGACAGAGAGGGAGGGACAGGGAGGGAGGGACAGGGAGGGAGGGACAGGGAGGGAGGGACAGAGAGGGAGGGACAGAGAGGGAGAGAGAGACAGGGAGGGAGGGACAGAGAGGGAGGGAGGGACAGAGAGGGAGAGAGAGACAGAGAGACAGGGAGGGAGGGACAGAGAGGGAGAGAGAGACAGGGAGGGAGGGAGGGACAGAGAGGGAGAGAGACAGGGAGGGAGGGATAGAGAGGGAGGGAGGGACAGAGAGGGAGGGAGGGACAGAGAGGGACAGAGACAGGGAGGGAGGGACAAAGAGATTGATTGTCAAATATCTTTATTTTTAATTAAATTTCGTTTACAGTTTTACTGTTTATCAAAACAAACTTAATTCATGCAAAAAAAAGTAAAAATCAAAAACTAAAGAAAAACACAAATCCTAAGTTGAGAACCAGAGCATTGTCTCTGACTGAACACAGAACGTCGTTCAGAGTCCAAATGTTCACAAAGAGTTCAGTTTTCTTTGTCAGTCTGTAGAAGCCAAACTCCACCCCGAGCCGAGCAGCCAGCAGTCCGGTCAGCATCAAGCTCACGTCCTCTGACCCTTCACACGGTTTTTCCTCGTTTTCCAAATTGCAAGTTTGGCCAGTTCTGAAAGGAAATTCATTAGTGTGTGGACAGATTTCTTTTTAGCAGAGCAGTTTGGACCATAGATAAAAAGACAGAAAGAAAAGTGTTCTCCTAAGCCCTGAAACCACACCTTCAGGCGGCTGAAGAGTCTCACCAGTCTGGAGCACTCAACGAACAGATGGTGGACGGTTTCTGTCTGCGAGCAGAAAGGACAGCTGTCCCCTGAGCCAGGATCCAGGTGCACCAGATACCCGTTTGTAGCTATGGCCCCATGTACAATCCTCCACTGGAGGTCTCCTGTCCGTTTGTCTACAGGGGGTTTGTACAGGGACCGTCAACAGCCCCTTGGGGAGGATCCCCTGCCAAAAAACTCGGTCCACCTCGACAACCTCACTCCTGCCAGAGAGTGCAAGTTAGAGACCTTCACACTGACCTGATACGCTGCTTTCCTCCCCAGAGTCTCAAAGTCCCCCAACTGGGGTGTCTTTAGAGACAGCAGGATGTCCTCCTCATCCTCCCACTGTCCCACAGCAGGACAGACAGCCAGGGGTGGGAAGACATACTCACCGACATTCATCGTCCCATTGGTCAGATATTGTACGGTCTCCAACAAACGCTTTGAGGACTTCTGGTAGGGAAGCACAGACCTCCACCAGCAGCAGCCTGAGCAGCAGCCTGCTGGACCGGATGTTGATCAGCTCCGCTAGTTGAGGGATGGAGGTCTTCATCAGATGACCCAGCTTCACACAGCCGGCCTCTCTCAGTCTGGATCTCAGGCTGATGGACGTCAGGACCTGGGATGTGATGTAGCTGCTTCCAAACAGCGGCTCCTCAAAGAGCCACATCCCTGGTGTCGTCACAGCTCTCCGCTGGACTGTGAAAACCTGCCACGCCTGTAAGACGGACTGGTAGAACGGTGTGGGACCAGTTAGAACCACTGACTGGGGCTGAAGTAGGAACAGGTGTTTATCACAACCTAAGCGTCCGGCCCTCCTCAGCAGCACACAGGCAGTATCAGTCCATGGCAGGCCGAAGCTGTACAGCAGTCTCTGAGCTGTCTGCAGTCTGAAGACTGTGATGCGTGATGCGATGTCCACCAGGCCCTGCCCTCCCTCCTGGACCAGCAGGTACAGCACCGCAGATCTCAGCCAGTGAGGCCCTGACCAGATGAAGTCCACAACTGCCCTCTGGATTTCTTCAATCAGGCCCTGTGTTGGAGGTAGGACTACCAGTCTGTGCCACAGGGTCGAGGCAACCAAGGCATTGACAGTTAGGACCCTCCCCCTGTAGGAGAGCTGAGGTAGCAGCCATTCCCGTCCAATAGACCTTCCTGTCACCTCATCAACATTAAACAAACAACCCTCACCCTGTGCACCGAGAGATGAAACAGAGCAGTGATGTAGACAGAGAGAAGAACCAGTAACAGAAAAATGAAGTGAATCACATCCATCATAGACTCACTTAGAGGTTCTTAACCTTTTGGAACCTTTCCCTTCATCTCTCTTCTTTAGCTTCCTGAGACTCGTCATGAGCTTCTTTAGACGGAAACATTTCTTTTCATCTAAATCATCCACATCAACCTCTCTCTGTATTTCCAAAACACTTTTAATGAACTTGTCTGCGTCTGGAAAATACTCTAAAACTTCTACAGATTTTCCAAACGTTTCATCCAGGAAGTTATTTCATTTCCTCAGCTTGTACAGATCTCCACTGTGAGACTGCGAGTCTGTGACAGAGAGACCGTCAGAGTCGTACTCCATCTCCTCCACAACAGAAGCCCCCCCACTCTCCTCTGGACCAGCAGCCCGACTCTGGTCAGCTTCAGCTGTCGGGCTGTCGGCCCTTTACTGCTTCCTGCTACACTTTCCCTCATACCTTCCTAGGCATAGGTCTGTCTCCCCGCTGAGCCCCTCCTCGGCCCCGGTCAGCGGGCCATCGCCCCCCCACAGCCAGGAGAACCGCCTCTACCGAGACACACGGGTCGGGCTGAACACGAACTCCATGTCTCAAAGACATGGACAATGTCTTAGAGGACGCCATCCCCGACAAGAAACACGGTTCTCTGTCCGCCAAAACACCACTAATCACACCAAAATACACAGACAACAACCTCAAACCACCACAACTCAATCACACAGTGAACTATGAAGAAAGATTGAAGAAAAATCAAACATTTAGCAACGCTCTCCACCAGAGAGAGAGAGAGAGATTTGTTTTTTTTTGATTTTTAGAAAACCTTTATTTTATTTGAACATGTTTCTTTATCATTTAAAACGATTAACCAAATAAAGTCCAACAAGCATAAATGTGTCTTTGATTGTCTTCAGACTGTGAGATCTGACTCTCACTGAGCTCCATCTTTGTGAACTATCTTCTTCAGTCTGAAGCCTTCCTGCTTTGTGAGACCTCCTCTGTCCTTGCTTCTCATATGAGCTCTGGCAGAGCTGGAGAGCTTCTCTTTGTCAAAGAGGTAGTCCTCCACTTTGGCTCCTCTCACATTCTTACTCCTCTTCAGAAACTCCTTGATCTTCTCCACGCTGTAGTCTCCAGAGCTCCTACAGCTGCCAGCACCGTGTTTAGAGGGCTCACTGTCAGCAGCAGCGCCCTCCTCCCGACTGGACTCAGAGTCCTCCTCGCAACTGGACTCAGGGTCCTCCTCCCGACTGCACTCAGGGTCCTCCTCCCGACTGGACTCAGGGTCTGCTGCTCCTCCACTTCCTTTCGTTGCTGCTTTCTTTGCCTGTGAGCTTCCTTTGTCTCCTCTCTGTTTCCTCTTCAGCTGAGGGGCTTTGAGCTGCTCCTCGTCTGCTTCCATGTCCACCTCCCTACCTGTCTCCACCTCTCCACCAGCACTCTCCCTCACCTGCTGGACCTCACTTGCCCCGTCCTTCATCACCTCCTGTGTCTCACTTGTTTCCTCCACCCTAACCTCCTGTGTCTCACTTGTTTCCTCCACCCTCACCTCCTATAACCCTCTCGTCCCCTCCTCCCTGCTCTTTTGGACCCCATCTGTCCCATCCTGTCCGTCTTGCTTGTCCCCTCTGCCCTCCTCAGTACCTGTCTGGTTCTGGTCCTTATGAGAGCTGTTTTTCTCAGGACACGTTCTGCTCTGATGACCCACTTTTCCACAACTGAAACAATTAAAGTCATCAGTTGTTGCATAAATGAGGTAGTCTAAGTCATCGACCCTGATCGTGAACACTATGTTGAGCCCCTTGCTCCTGTTGTTTGGGATCATGAGCAGCTGTCTCCTGTGAGACACCACGTGCTTCAGGAGAGGAGACCTGCACCCAGAGGACACCTTCTTCACCTTAGACACTATCCTCCCGTGTCTTGATAGTTCTCTGGTTATGTCTTCATCTCTGATGAACGGTGGGACGTTGGACACGGTTACCTTCACAGCCGGTGTGCAGAGAGGGTAAACGGGGAAGAAGTTATCGCCCACCTCGATCCCGTTGTCAATCACCACTTCCACATTTCTGATGGTGTCTAAAAAGATGACCACGGCATTGTTCATTCGCGCAGCGGACTTCACGCTGCTGTGGCCAACAAGTTCACCCACAGCCAGGCTGCATTCCTCCACTGACACCGGGAAAGTCGGCGGGATCTTTATGCCGTGTTTCCTTGTGAGGTCGGTCATGTCCATGGTGGCGTTTAGCACACCGACACGCGCTGCTCGACTGCAACCACTCACAAAGACCCTAAAACCAGCTAAATGTTCACACAAACACCGTGAGATACACTATCACATCCAACGTTAACTAGTGACGAAAAAATACCGAAAAAAATCTGTGTTAATCTCTCTCGAACACGCTCCGTCAACTCTGCACTCCTTCCACTCAGACAGAGAGACAGAGAGAGAGAAAAAAAATCCATGTCTCTCTTGTCTCTAAGGGTTCATCTTCAGAGTGAACAGATGAATGATGAAACACAGAGACCCTCTGGTCCCTCTCTCCCACCGGTCCACCTCTCCCACCTCTCCCCCTCCTCTCCCTCTGGTCCACCGATATCATGATCGTTACCTCTCGTCCTACGTAGGAGTCCGGTTCCTCTACGATGATGGCGGTGTAGTGGTCTGACCTTTGACCCAGCAGAGGGAGCAGCTCCACAGAACTACAGACACACAGAACCACATCATGTAATCCAGGAAGTAAACCAGAAGGGACAACATGACGTCTGATAACTCATTCTGTGTCTGTCGGTTCTGTCTGCGTCTGTCGGTTCTGTCTATTCGGGTTCTGTCTTTTTTCTTCCTTTGTCTTTCGGGCCTGTGTGTTTTGCCTGTTTCTGTTGGTTGTGTCTGTTGCGATCAGTTGTGTCAGTTTCTGTGAGTCGAAATCAGTCGTTTCGCTCTGTTGCAGTTGGTTGAGTGTGTTGTTATCGGTTGAGTCGGTTGCAGTCAGTTCTGTATGTTCTCCGTTTCTGTCTGTTGCAGTCAGTTGAGTCTGTCGGTTCAGTCAGTTGCAGTCGGTTCTGTATGTTGTCTGTTTCTGTCTGTTTAGTCTGTTGTTGTCTATCGGGTGTGCCCGTTGCGGTCGGTTGGGTCTGTTGGTTTAGTCAGTTGCAGTCTGTTCTGTGTGTTGTCTGTTTCTGTCTGTTGCAGTCGGTTGAGACTGTTGCCAGTTTCTGTCTGTTGCGTTGGTTGTCTGTTTTTGTCTGTCAGTTGTGTCTGTTACAGCCAGTTCTGTCTTGTCTGTTTCTGTCGGTTGTGGTTGGTTGGGTCTGTCGTCGTCTGACGGTTGTGTCCGTTGTCTGTTTCTGTCTGTTGTGTCCGTTTCTGTAAGCGTCTGCCTGTTCTGTCTGGTTTTGTCCATTCCTTCTGTTTGCAGTCAGTTTGTGTCAGTTCTGTCTGTTCCCTCAATTCCTTTCAGTGCAGATTGGCTTCTTTCGGGTTCTGGTACCTGTATGGTTCCAGTGGAGGACAGTGGTCCGGCCAGTCCACCTTGGTGTGGTTCTGCAGGATGTTCACCATCAACTGTCTCACTGACTGGATCTCTCTGTCTGCACCTGAAGACAGACAGGTAGAGAGACAGACAGACATAATCTGTAATCTGAGTGTGATGAAGAAGTCAGTGTAAAACAGCTGAAAGAAAGCATGAGTATATGAGTAAGTGACCCTTGAGCTTAGAGACTGAAGATGTCTCACCTCTGTAGGACGTCCCTCTGTCTGTCTCTGGACTGTGAGCATGAAAGTACTGAGGACAGACAAGAGTACTGTTATTATGTAGTACTAGTACACGGCATGATATAGCACGAGCATTATATACTCAGCAGTAGTACTCAGCAGTACTTGTGACCTACTTTGAATGTCGGGTAGAACTTGATGTTGAACTCTTTACAGACGTCAAAGTTTTCTTCCTGAGCGCAGTCCAGGACCCCGATACGGACCACCTGCTGCCAGTCTGAGGGGAGACAGACAGACATTAATAATAATAATATTATTATTCCAGTAAAAATGTTTTTATCTCTTCATTTTCAATAAGATACTTCAAAATAAAAGCACTTTTTAAAAACCTGATGGTCATTTTTACTTTGAAAGGATGAGAGAGAGTTTGATATTTAGTAACTTCACTTGACGTTATATCAACTAATAATATATAGTTTATTGTTTATATACAACAATGAAGTAATTACGTGATGTTTTTTCTTTATGAATAAATATAATATAGAGCTAACAGAGAACGCTAAGCTAACAGAGCTAACAGAATAACAGAGCACGCTAAGCTAACTGAGCTAGCTAAGGTAACATCTCTTTTAACTCACTTCTCATTCATTACCGTCAAACTATTTCAGTCTCTTGTGATTCCGGTTTGACTCCTCGTTGCTAGGATACCTCACGTGTCACCTGTCCGTTGCCCAGAAACACGAGCTCTTTCCTTTGATGACACGACCACCTGTTAGTTAGCTCTGTTAGCTTCGTTAAGCTAAGCTAGCCGAGCTAACTGACGCTAACTAGAGCTAACAGACGGTAGCTCATAGGAATCTATTAATAAATCAGTTGTTAATGACGTTAAACAGAAAGCTAATAAAGTATTAATAATGTGATGTCTGTCTGTCTCTCTCTCTCTCTCTGTCTGTCTGCATGTCTCTCTCTCTCTGCATGTCTCTCTCTCTCTCTGCATGTCTCTCTCTCTCTCTCTGCATGTCTCTCTCTCTCTCTGTCTGTCTGTCTGCATGTCTCTCTCTCTCTCT